AAAAAACACCGCCAAAAGAAATCGAGTGCGGTATGCGTGTACCCCGCCTAGTAACATGCAGTTATTTTTCGTCTTTCGCGTCGACGTCCTTGATACCTGCCACTGACTGTTGTCGGGTCGACGGGCAAAATCAGTTGTTTGTTATTATTCGGAGTAGTGTTTTTATAGTAAATAAATAGTATTCATTTTACGTGAAATATGAATGCAAAAAAAGGCCTCGCTGAAGCACATCTCTTAGAAATATTAAAATCGGATGATTTTTTTTATAGATAGTGTATTAGATGAGAGTGCAAGTGATAATGAAGAACATGATTTTGTGACAGAAGTGGAGGAAGTGTATGATATCATAACAGACAACAAATATCCTGAAAGCAATGATTTGGAGGATTCGGCCGGAACTAACGATGTGTTATGTGATCAACATGTATATAAAGCGAAAGATGGAACTTTGTGGTCTAAAACTCCATATAACTTACGGGTCAAACGGGCAAAACATAATACTTAAAATGTAGCAGCAGGACCAACGCCCTACAGTTCAAGTTTCACTAGTAAAAGAGAGGCCTTCTGTGTATTTTTTGATGAGGAAATGAAAAATACAATTATCACTGAAACAAACAGAAAAGCCCAAGCAATTTGTGCCTATTTTAGAAGAGGAAATTAAAGCTTTTATCGGTCTATTGTTTATTTGGGGGGCTCTTCATAGCTCAAAGGAGCCTCTTACATGCTTTGGAGCCAGGATCCGGTAATTTGTTGACCAGTAATATCCGCTGTAATGTCTCGAAATAGATTTAAGCAGATGTTATGCTTTCTACGTTTTGATAACTTCGAGTTTAGAGCAGAAAGGAGAGCAACGGCAAATTGGCCCCAATCCGAGATGTTTTTGATAATTTCGTCAATAACTGCAAAAATGCATACAATCCAGGGGAGCACTTATGTGTCGATGAACAGTTTCTTTTTGTAAGATAGCTCCATTTAGAGTATACATGAAGAGTAAACCTGACAAATATGGTTTAAAAATTTGGGCACTGGCAGATTGTTGTACAGCGTATACCGTCAATGTGCAAGTATATTTAGGTAAGTTTATTTTACGTTGCACTCTAAATACACGTTTCCACGGTCATCACTTTTTCTAGGTAAGGTAGGCAACATAGCTGAAAAGGGTCAAGGCCAAAAAGTTGTTCTGGACTTGGTGGAACATTTACCTCAAGGCCGCGGACTAACTACAGACAACTTTTTCACAAGTTTAGAATTAGCTGATAAACTTCTACAGAAGAATCTATCATTATGTGGTAGTTTGAGAAAAAACAAAACATTTATACCGAAGGAGTTGCTTCCAGCTACATATAAAAAAGAATTCTCAAGTAAGTTTGCATTTATGAGAGATAAAACTATGGTTTCGTATATCCCGAAAAAGAAAGCTGCTGTCATTTTGTTATCTATTGAGCACAAAGACGACCAAATTGGAGAAGAAAATTTATCCCATATTATTTTACATTATAATAAGACTAAAGGTGTTGTGGACACCAGCGATAAATTGGCGAAAGAGTACACGACCCAACGAAAATCAAACCGTTGACCAATGGCAATGTTTTACCATCTTCTAGATATTGGTGGATTCAACTCCTTCAAACTTTGGATGAACAAATACCCATATTAAGAAAAGGGGAACCTGGATAATAAAAAAATCTTTTTATTAGAGTTGAGAAAAGAATTGGGGAAGAGGAACATAATACAAAGGTATACCACCAATAAAAATTCTCAATTGAACATTAAGAGAGACATGAAGCTTGTCATCCCGGAACTAGTTACTCAAGAACCCGTAAATTCTGTTCCTGCTATGCCTTAAATTAGCAGATGTCATCTTTGTGACAGAAAAAGAGATAAGAAAGGTCGGAATTGGTGCTTCAAGTGCAATAAAAACGTCTGCAAAGAGCATTCAAAAGCTCACTACATTTGTGATAAATGTCAGTTATTATATTTTTTATATTATGACAATAAATAAAACTCATTTAAACTTGAGATTTCAATTTAGTTTGCTTTGAACTGTTTCAACTTCAACTAGAAATCACAACCGCTACAAGGCTACAACCTCTACAACCACGTGCTATAACCTCAATAATCTACCGAAATCGAGCAATTCGGCACCATAGAGCTGGCGAGTGACTCGCAATCGTTTTAGTCGATGCGAATATGATTTCTCGCAAATCGGAATTCACCAAACTATCGAAATCGAGTATTTCGATATCGAATTGTCAATGGGAATCTATCTGCAGTAGTTATAGTGTAAGGATAGTTTCTGAACTTTTTTAATTTTAATTTTAATTTTATTTTAAATACCGAAGTGTTACTTTTATTGCCAATGTAACAAGTAAAGTGTGTTCCCATTTATAGTTTATAATCCTCCTTGTTATTTATTGGTTAAATTTATTTCGTTCAATGTTAAAATGCAACAATTTTGTCAGAAGCATAAGGTTCATTTTAATTTTTTGTAAATAATATAACTTTTTTCATTTAAAATTTAATCTACGAAAGGCGTATATATTATTGTATATGCCGTGATCTTTTTTATAATGTAGAAACTTATGTGACGTTATATCTTCATTTTTACTGCACTCCTCTTTTATTCACACTATAATAAATGCCTAGTTGTTTGATTTTATTTTTATAAATGCAGGAATTATATTAAGTATTGGATGTAAGGATTAAATGGAAATGCCCAAAGTTCAATGTTCGATTTGAGCTATAATCATTTAATGATTAACTAGGTAATCGCCTAGAGCAGATATAACAGTAATCCTCTGAAATACAGTGCCATAGATAAACATAAATATATATCCATATGAAAGCTGGAGCATGAGAATTTGACGCTACTTGTTTAATATCGATAAGCGAAATAAAAAAAATACAAAGTAATTAGTTTAAACTGTTAAACTTTAAAAGAGAAAATATAAAAATATAAAATTACAAATAAATATACAGTGTGATTTCAAAAGTAAATAATTTATTTTACAAAATTTTAACAATATTTTTTCGGGTTTCATCTGGCTTTGTCTACGATAATTAATTTTGGGTTATAGTACCAGCTTAAAATTAAACAGGTCTTCAACTAAATGTGTTCTATAAAGCTTTCGGATTAGTCTGTGGTACGAAAACTGACTATTTTTGCATTCTATTATACACGCCTATTTTGTGCAGGTGCCTATACTGGGGCATGCCCTGTCATGAGTCCTTATTTTTAACTAATTACTTTGAGTTATACTTATACTTATACTGTTATACTAAAAAAAGTTTCCATTTTTTTTAAACACACTCTATAACCAATGGGAAAAAAAATTTATGTTTCACACGGCATAAAAACAGATTTACTGCCTTGGCTAACGCTATTTTGTTACATTAATTTTGTAAACTTTTACTTAACTACTAGCTATATACCGATAAAGTGTTATTGTCCCCATCATAAATGAATCGTGCTAAAAAATTAAGTCTAAACATTTCTCATAAGTTTCCATCTTTTAACAGTTACCAAAATTAGGTACTACAAGTCCGGTCCAGAACACCTCCCTACTTCTTCCACCTAGTTTTTGGCAAAATTCGCGCAGCAGCAAATGCTTTCTATGTTACCTTTACCCTTTCTTACTTCTTTGGGTAATACCGCTGTGTTTATAAAAAAAAGTTTAAAAAATATATGTCTGTGTTTTTTCCCATAATCAGATTGAACTATCAAATCAGAATTCGTCGCCAGTTAATGATTGCACTAGATAAACACTGAATAAATTTTTGAATCGTTTATTTGTCTCAAATTATATTTAATTTAAACCCAAAACTCAAAAACAAAAAATTTACGTTAGAATTAAAAACAGCTGTCCACGTATCAATGACAACCAGTTAAGGAAGCTTATACGGGTTGTCTAACAGTTCACCACAGCAGTCCCCTCCTAGTGTTAACGAAATGTATTTTTCTTATTTTATTTAACAATTCTTTAATCTTCGTTTTGTATTAATGTCGGTTTAAGTATTTCACGGAAATTATATAAATAAATGTTTATTAATTGGATTTAAATTTTCTGGGCTTCTCAAAGTAGCTCTATATACTAGTTCAGCAAATAATAAACCCAACTCTTCTCCAAAATGGTCACCGAAATAGTCACCAAAGTAAAAATAATTATCAAAATTTTAATAATCAAAGATCAAACTCATGCCAAAGTTCTAATAATAGTTTCCAAAATAATTATAATGTATAATTTTAGAAATAATTCATTTTGGACCTCCGGCAGACGTATTTAAACCAACCGGTTCAATCCCTGCTAATAAACCGAAACCAATGTCTACTAATTCTGGAAATCCTACTGACTCCGTTAGATAAGTTTAATGAATAAAAAAATTACTTTTTTAAAAAAAATATTTTACTTAACCTTAAATTTTATTTTGCCCCTTTCAAGGTATAGATAACTTTCAAACTTCGAAAAAGTCAGATCACTGTAATTATTTACCAAATATTTTATGTTAATTGTGTTGCCTATATATTAGTTTAGTATTGAAACTTATTAGATGCTTGGTTACCAAAGATTGTGTAAACATAACCTATTTTAATTGTGACATGTTTGCGGCGCAAACGCCCTTGAAGAAATCGTTGGTAAGTAGTATGGAATATTGTGGTCAATTGTTAATTTTTTTGTTATAATTGTAGTGAAGTGTTAAATAAAGCTACTTTAAGTAGTTGTGTTTATAAATATTTATGTACAAATAATCCAAAGTAGAATAATTAGGGCAAGTGTTAAGATGTACACTATAGTTCACATCGTCAATGATACAGCAGTTTGTAGTTTTTTTATTATGTATCCTATAGTTCACATTGCCATAGACTCGGAACATTAAAACTATTTTGGATTTTATCCAACAGTATACATTTTTAAATATTAAACTTTATTTATGTTGAGTTATTTAATATTATTAACTAGTTATCTCAAAGGTAAGTTGTTTATGTTAATTATTTTTTCCAGATCCAGAAAAATGTTTGGGTTACTTCCGCCCCCATCATCTGATTTGGATGAATCCTCTAACGAAGAAAATAGCGTATTTCATTGTGAATCTTCTAGAGTTGAGAGCGACACACAAAGTGAGACCTTCAAAACAGCTAGTTTACCCCCTAAGATACAATACATTTTTGATCAACTATTCGATACTGATACAGGCTCTGAAGCTGAACCAGACCAATTCAAAAACTTGGCCAGAAACACCTAAATCAGTACTCAGTCCCTTGAAGAAAAGATCAAAACTCTAAAGAGTTTAGTCCAGTCATGAAAAAAGTAGAAAAGGTTGGCATTCAGCTTTAAAAAAGAAGAACAACGAAAAACGCGTTGAGTATATTTGGTCCAAAGAAGAATTTAAATATCCCGTAAATATACCGGAGAATAACTTTTCAGTTCCAGAAGAAATAAAATCGCCATTAGGTTATTTCAAGATGTTTTTCTCCGAAGACTTATTTACACTATCGAAAATACTAGTTTGTAAAGTGTTCAAAAAACACGAAAGTCTATCAATATTACTAATGACGATGTTAGGGACAGATTTGGATGGGAATAATAGATATTCCATCATACTTAGACTATTTGAGTACCGATTTCAGATATGCCAAAATATCAGAAATCATGCTCCTTAAAAAAAATTAACAAATTCGCCGCTTTATACATTTTGCTAATAATGATCATATAAACAGTGATCAGTATTACCGGATAAGACCTGTTTTAAATATAATTAAAAAAAATTGTATATCAATATCAAAGAAGAGACACGACATAGCATTGATGAAATGATGGTTCCATACAAGGGCAAAAAGGCAGGTCACGCAGACAATATATAAAGTCTAAACCAAAAAAATGGGGCTTTAAAATATTTGTCAGAGCTGAGATTTTAGGGTTGGTTTACGATTTTATCATCTATGGGGGAGATGACATATTTAGACAACATATTTTTTCGGAAAAGGAGGAATCATAAGGCGTTGGAGCTAAAGTTGTTCTGGCTCTAACGCAGTCTATGAAATTTCCGGCGTTGTCTGTTATATATGTCGAAAATTTTTTCTCAGATTTTGATTTTTTCTACACTATACGACACCAGTATGAGATTTTAGCACTGGGGACTATGAGAGCAAATCGACTAAAAAATTGCATTTTGAAAGAAGACAAACTGTTGAAGAAAAAAGGTAGAGGAGCATTTTCTTATACAAGTGATGGTTTGACAACAAAGCAGTTATATTGGCAAGTACGTATGTCTCTTCTATACCTGTTAGAACAGCTGTACTCAACCCTTTTTTCTTTCGGGCCACATAAATCTGTTTGTTATGCTACAGGGGCCGCAATATTTTTGGGTGATAACTAGAGTTGCTACCTTTTGAAATGTAAATAAAGTCAATGAATGACGATTTTAGTATTTTCTAAAAAAAAAGTCCTCATGATGTTTTGAAAAGTCGTAAGGACAATTTGTTTCAAAAAAGACTGTAGGTCAACCAATTAAAATTAGTTGGGATTTCTAATGCATAAAACAGAATACATAAATGCAAAACAATAAAAATACTAGCATGATAGCATGATATTTATCGCTTAGTGTTAATGTTTTCGCGCATTTCGCTCAAAATTTTAAAAACAAAAAGCAATAGTTGTAAAAAGCATCTTCCTAATAGTAGTGTTTGGGGCTACACAAAACAGCTTGGAGGGCCGCACGTATGACAAAAATCAAAAAGAAAGAATTGATATACCATGTCCAAATATTGTAAAACACTACTCTCACATGGATGGAGTTGATCTAATGGACATGTTAATTAGCCTATACAGAATTTCTTTAAAAACACGCCGCTAGTACCTTTCAATATTTGGGCAAATGATGGATATTTGCATAAATAATGCTTGGTAAATGTATCGTAGAAATAAAAGAAGCCTCAAGGATAACTCAAAAGAACACAGTCTAAAATGGTTTAGAAATTGTATAGCAAAGGGGTTAAACACAAAGGACAGAATAAATAATAAGAGGTCATTTTCAGAAAAAAATAAAATCTGCTATTTTTCCAAGGCTATCTAATGATACTTGCTATGATTTTCCAATATATAAAACAAAGAGCAGATGCCGGCATTGTCAATCTGGAAAGACACACTGGTCCTGTTTCAAATGCTCAGTAAGGTTTTGTTTAGTTACAGAGAGAAACTGCTACTATAGTTTCCATTATGAATATTTAACAGTATTGTTTTTTTATTGTTAACGTATTTTTGAGAATTATTTTTTTATTTCCACGTAATTATTTCTTTTTAATTAAATAATTGTTTTTGTTTTACTTTTACTTTTAATCGCAATTCGGGTCTTAACTATGTACCCTACAGGACACAAAATTAAAGAATCCATTATATCTAGACATTTGGTAATATGCCTTATAGGGTACATGTCATATTTGACAGATTAGTAAAATAATAATGGAAAAAATGGCAAAAATGCTTTCTTGGACACTCAATGCATCAGCAAAGGTCACAAAAAAACTTATTAATTTAAACTTGCCAAATTAAGCGTTAACAACTAATTTACTTTGATAAAAAATAAGGAATAACAATTTTACATATATTCAGCAGCTTGTAAGCTTGCATATAGAATTCGTCTAACCTAGCTATATTTATGATCTATATTTGTATATTGTAATGTACGTTTTAGTATTATTTTATTATATTATTTTTTATTGTTAATTGTTTTATTTTTTGGTTACGCTCAAGGACTTGCGCCCATGTGACTTAACAATATTTAAGTGTAAGGGGTTAAAGAAAAGGTCCTTTATTTCTCACTTGTGAGAAATAAAGGACCGTTTCTTTAACCCCTTACACTTAATCCCTACTACTCACATATGGCTACCCTCACTCCAAATTAACAATATTTATTTGTAATTTTGTTGTTCGTAAATTATTATTATTATTATTATTATTATTATCATATATTTAAATAAACACACTATTGCTTAATACCAAAGATTATAAACATAGCACTAAATGTACCACCACGAAAGCTTAAAAATTATAATATTCACAATAGTAAATGTTTTTTTCTAGTATGAATATATTCGGTTAAATTAATAATTAATTAATAATACATGATTAACTAAATTATTTTTACTTATAACTTTCTCATTTCCCAATCTAGATACCAAGCTGATATATAAAATACCAATTTTTATAAATTTAAATCTATTTTCTAAAACTTCTTACACGGTGAACTTACTATTCCTATTTCTTAATTTATAAATCACTCAGAAATTCATAAAAATCCATCTAATGAAATCACTTAAACCACACCCTGAACACAACTTTCAAAATTGCAAATAGTTCATAACTTTCGAACGGCCCGCATCGGCATCGGCGATTTGAAATAGAGCGCGAGTGTATCAAAAACTTCTCAGCACGCTGAGCTCGACGTTGCTAGCGTTTCGACGGCTTTTCATACAACTACTGACCGATTTGCCGTCGCGACGCGCCTGAAGTTCATGCGCCCGTGACTGGGGATTTTTGCACGGCTGTAGAGTTAAAGCTCAAACGGAAGACTTTCTTAGTAAAATGCATGGAAAGTGCAACGTAAAGATGTTATTTCCTGAAACTTTTGGCCTTGCATCAGACTGCAATAAGACCGCTGTAATCTCTGGGGTATTGTAAGTTTTGAAGTAGGTCTTATGGGGGTAGTATTTGTGGGCAAGCATGTTGGTGCTTTTACTTACACTTCAAAAAGAACTATTTACTTATCCAATAAAATTCCGATGCAGTCTGATATGTTTTCAACCCCTTCTCCGTAACAGAAATTATTGTACAGTTTTTTTTTTCTTATATTATTTGTAATGAAATGAAAGATTATACATCTTAACAAAACATTATTTAACGGAATAAACGAAACTTTTAACGGCATGTCTTTCATTTTAATCAAGATGATCTTCTGATAAAGAGATTCTTTTTCATTTTTAGCAACCATTAGATTAAATATGCTTGGCAACATTTAAATGGTTTTTTTACTTAGAAGAATTATTTAGATGTTTTTTTATTATATGAAGAATTAGAAGTTCATTACCTGGTTTTATAAATAAAGATTTGCTGATTTGGATAGTGGTTAACGCCTTGAGGACCTAAGAAGTATAATAGGCTGTTTAGAGGCCTTGTTACGGGTTGAAAGTAATCTAAATTCAAAAGTACATTTAAGTAATTTTTGTGCAATTTTAACTATCTATTCAATTTAATTTTAAAAGAGAAAATATTCTGGTACTTGGCTCAATAAATAAAACTAATTAAAATTAATTTAAACATTTATTTAATTTTTGTTGTTATTACCATAACCTAGTCTCTGTACAATAATGCCGTCTTTTGAGATTCTTCTTAATTTTCGATTCTTCTTTTTCCTTCAGGCCTCGTCCTAAAGTGAAGGTCAATATTTACTTTCCTATTGGTCATGAATTACTCCATTTTGTCGAAAGATTAACTGTCTCTTTTTACTACCTCTTTCTTTTTTTTTGGCTACTGAATTGGAACACGTGCTTCCCTATTTTTCGATGAATTTTCGGATTAAATTAGCCCTAAAAGAAAGATTACTTCATTAGTTTTGATAAAAGTAATAAGCAGAGTTGCTAACACACTTAGTGGATAAAATATACTTTTTTCTAAAACTAATCTACTTCTAAGCCACTCACCACGCATGGTAAGTTTTCTCAACAAAAATTTATGATCATTAACAAAGGAAGTAAATAATTATAATCTATTGTTTTAGGCTTTTCTGTACAGGTAGTACTCATTCTTATGGTAACCTGTGAATTTATTTGGAGTACCTTACTGCTTAGTAGTTTCTTGCTTTGCTTCTTAGCTCCCTGCATGGCTTCTGACCTTTCTGCTTTCTGCTTTCTTCAATATACCTGCTTAGCTTGGGATTGTAAGAAAATACCTGGAACCTCTTTAATAGGAAGATAAAAATTGGTAATAAAGAATAATACTTCCAGAGACGCTACTGGACTCAATCTTAATAAAAGTAAGAACTTTCCATTGTTTAAATTATTGTCGCCAAGGGGATACGTATTTTAAAACATAGGCTGAATCAGAAAATGAAAATATATGAAAGAAAATCGTTAAAATATTATATTGTTTTAATACAATTTTACTTACCCTATGTAAACGATTAGTACTAATCGGGATTCAAAAATCAAGTTGTACAATTCATTATTTAGTCTTTATCTTCTTCGGATC